GAATTCCTCACAAAGAGGGGGAAAAAGAACCAAAAAAAAAAAAAAAAAAAAAAAAAAAAAAAAAACAAAAAAAAAAAAAAGGAAAAAAAAATACAAAGGACTTTTTTTTTTCCATTTTGTAATCGTAAAGAAATAGTCGCTGAACTGCTTCATGGTCGGGGTTTTCACAATTTTCAACATGATCGCGTGGTTTTGGTTCTGTTCTAGTTTAAAGGATCCGTCATCGTTTCTTTAAAACAAAAACCCAACAAACAACGGCGCTACCATATCCCTCCGCAGAAGTGCTTTTCTATTTATAAGGTTGAAAATTCTGAATAACCCTTTTAGCATTATAAAAACCACACAAAAAAAACCCACCTTGTATTTTGTAAATATTTTCTTTTCCTGCTTTGAGCTGTGTAATGTCCTTGTTATATAGAAATGCTTTTCTTCCGAGAAGCTGATCTTTGTTAATGTCTTGATTCTGTTGGCAAAGCACAAATGTGCTTATAAAAAAAAAAAAAAGAAGAAAAGATTAAAAAAAAAATTAAAACGTAATATTCCATTTGATGAGTGTGAAATGCTGGGCTGGGACATGGAAGGGTCTTTGAGTGCGCTCAGATCAACTGCTTCCCTCCTGGTTTTTTTTTTTTTTCTTTTCTCTGATATTTTCGAGTGGTTACTGTCAGCAAGAGGAATTTGGGCTTTGTACTGGGGTAGGTGATGGAGCAGGACATGGGCTCAGTGCTTCTCACTGCTCCATCCAACCGCCCAGGCTGGGGATATTTTCCATTTCTGGGGTTCACTGGGTGCTGCTGGTTCACATCCAGGGACTGTTGGGGCCATTCCTGGCTCCACTGAGCACGGTCCCCCTTCCTGTACCCCGCTGTACCACAGGAAGAAGTGTGGGAGTTGGAATTTAAAAAGGAAAAACTGAAACCCAGATCCTGCTCATCTGTGGTGCTCCCAACAGCGGATCCCAACCCCCAGGTCCCCCCATCCCATCCCGAGCAAAAGAGGTGCCGATTCTCATTATTGTAGTAATGACTTTATTTCCAAATTCACTTTTACGGCAACAGTGTAAACCAGTTGTTAAACACACGATACACTATGGACACCCACAGACAGAAGCTAAGCTAGAATGATACACTGAGATCAAACCTTCCCTCCCCTCCCCGGCGCAGCGCGGGGGGCACGGGGCTGCCAACACCACGGAGGCTGGCACCGACCTTCGCTAACAAGCAGAATCTTTTGGAGTGCAGAAATATGAATTTTTAAATTTTTTTTTTTCATCAGTGCCGGATTTAACCCTTTTCAGACCCAAGATGTGTGTGGAGTAAAGGAAAAGCCGGGGGGTCGGGTTGTCCGGCTGCTCACGGGGACCCTCGGGCTTGGGTCTGAACGCAGGGTCAGGGCTGGGGACGTGGCTCGGGCTGCTGGAGGGGACAGCGGGTGACGCGGTGGGTGGAAAGGGCTGTCCTGGGACCCCAGAGCCCCCGGGGTGGATGGCACACGGGGCTGAGGACACTCACAGCGGGAAGGGGCTGCTCACCGGAGCTCGGCGCACGCAAAGGATGTCCCGGCCCTGGGTGCTGGTGTCCTTCGGGGGCTGCACGGAGGGGACAGGGGTGGCACAGGACGGGCGAGCTCAGCTACCCCGTCCTGCAGCCCAAAAGGGGTCGAGAGGTGACGATTTGAGGGTTCTCCCACTTTTCGTTCTACAGAGGACAAAAACCGCGGCGGCTCCTACAGCGCTACAGAGTCGGGGACGGAGCACAGAGTCTTACAATCATGGAGTCAAAGTGAACGGAGCGAGTGACAAGCTGGACACGGTGGCGGTGCTGGACCAGCCTCTCCYCAGCAATAAAGCAGCTGCTGGGGCTGCAGAGAGAAGGGTTGGAGCCCTCGAACCATCCACAGCCGAGCCTGTGGCAGCCCAGCCCCATGGAGGGACAGGGGGTGACAGCGGGGTCACAGCTCCCGCAGGATGGGAGCGGGTCCTGTCCTGGGAGGAACTGCTGCTGTGCCAGCCTTGGTGGCACCCAGCCACCACCCCGGGGACACCCAGGGGCCCCGTCAGACCGGGAACCCGGCCTTTGCTGGGAAAGCACGGCTTTCCCTGGGGTGCAGCCCCACCGGGTCCCCTCTGTCCTCCCGGAGCTCGGCTGGGACCGCAGGGCGGGAGGACACACAYGGAGGGGCACCGGTGGCATCTCAGCCTCTTTGGTTGTAGACAGAAGGGGCAGGCGGGGACAGCCACGGGGACCCCCAGGCGCTCCCCAGGAACAAAAGCAGCCGGAGCAAGARCTCGACCGGCTCCTGTCCCCGAGCGGAGCTGGGAGCGCTCGGGGCCGAGCGAGGGGTGAGACGCTGCCAGCTCAAAGCCGGGGAGAGCCCGGAAAGGGGGTTCGGTGCCMGGGAGCAGCCGCTGCCCCGGGCTGGGGGAGCCGCTGCCGCCTCCCCCCGCGTCCTCCCGGGGTCTCACCGCTGCCACCGGCACAGCAGAGCCATGGAGCTGCCACCTCCGCCATCGCTGAGCTGACCTTGCAGGGAAAGAAAAAGAACAACCCAAAAATGTCACAAGCTGCACCCAAATCCAGGAGCCATCCCAGCCCTGGAGCTGTGGGTGCCCCTCATCCAAGCTCCCGGGGCGCTGGGAGGTGCCCGGCCCTGGGGGAGCCCCGGCRCGGCCCCCGGCCCCCCCTGCCCGGCAGACATGCGGTGCCAGGGCCGGGCACGACCCGGAGCCGGCCGAGCTCCCCGGGATGCGGCGGAGCCGGCGCGGGGCAGCTCAAAACTACTTACAGCATTTATTATTTTTTTTTTTTTTAAACACATGCTCGTTTATGAAAACAATCACCCTGGCACGGTCCAAGCATATACAGACAAATCTACTCTACGACACGAGGGGCTGCCAAAGGAATGGGGGAAAAGCCTCTACTCATCCACTCAGCGGTTCCAGCACAGCCACGGAGAGGGGACACGGCCGTCCGGGGCCCCTCGGAGCGGGCACCCGGCGCTGCCTGAACTCCAGCTGCCGGAGCTGAGAGCGGGTTAGGGGRTACCTGGCCGTTATCTTCATACACATCTCGGCTTTCGGAGATAAAAACAAAAGGTTTCTTCCAAATCAGCAGGCAAATTTAAGGCGGGGAGGGGAGGGCGCCTCCCCGCAGCCCCGGCTGCGCGCCCAGGACGCGTCCGGCCAGCGGCGGGGCCACGAGCTGGGCGAGGTCACAGCCCCTTCCCGGGAGGGCCACCCGCTGCCCTGTGCTGGTGTGGGGTGCTCGGGTCAGCGTCGTGCTGTGGCCGCCCCTCGGGCCCCCTCCCCGCCTTCCCGGGTGGCCCCGGACGGGGCTGGAACAGCAAGGGACGCGGCAGGAGCAGGGGGGAGCGCGGGGACGGGGACGGGCTGTGCGCTCCGAGGAGCAGGGGGAGAGGAGGTTTTGTACCTCATAGTGTCACTGATTTTGAAGTCCTGGAGCTAGAGCTGAATGAACAGTAAAAGCAGGTTAAATCATTAACCAGTTAGGGACGGGGAAGCAGCTGTAAAAGGAACAGAGGAAGAAGGCCAGATTATTTTTGTTTCTTTTCTTTTTTTTGTTTCCTTTCCTTGTCTTCTCTCCTGGTGGCYGCCGTGCCGCGATCACAAGCCCTGCTTGGCCAGCGAGGCGGACACCTCGTCGGCTAGCGTGGCCAGCTGGGGGGAGTCCACCAGGTTGATGCTGCCGGTGGAGGAGACGTTGCTAAGGCGGCGCGGGGAGGCATCTCCAGAGATGGTGGGGGACTTGTAGACGATTTCGGCGCCGTGGTCGGTCTTGGCTTTGGCGTTCTCGCGGAAGGTCAGCTTGTGAGTCTCAATCTGTGAGGGAGAGGAGGGCGGTCAGGGGGGGCACAAAACAGAAGAATCTGCCGGGTGTCCACTCGGGCACGGCTGCTGAGAGTGGGGAGAAAAGCTCCGAGCAGGAACCGGCGCCTCCAGTTCCTCCAGTCCTCGGGCACGTCCCAGGCGCCAGAGGGAACAGCAGGACTTGAGCATGTGGATGCTGCCAAATCCTCCCCAGGTGAGGAGCTGTGTCCTGAGCTCAKAGGGCACAGCCTGGGCTGCTCCCACTCCCCTGGCAGAGGTTTTGGGGGCGTGTGGCACAGGAAGCTTCCCCTCAGCCCGCAGAGCTGCTCCCAGGAGCCAAACCCCTCTCCCGGACAACTGGATCTGGTTTGCTACTTACTGGTGCCCTCCCCAGCCGAGTGCAAGGCTGGGGGCTGGCTCTCCGTGGGGGTGAGTGGCTCCAGCACCAGGGCCTGGAGCCCAGCGGGGTCTGGGCTCGGGGTCCAGGTCTTGTCTTCCTTGCCTTTCTCTCTCTACGGGTGAAGAAACCCGCCCAGGGCAGTGGGGGGCAAAAAATGCATCAGCAACAAAAACCACCATCCAAGAAATGTCAGCCAGAAGGAAAAAAAGACAAAAAATATAGAAAAGAAATAGAAAATTGGGGAGAAAAAGATCTGAAAAATAGGGCCATTCACTGACTCATAGAAAGAAGAGTGGCTGCCTTTGGAGCTGGAGAGGAAAACTCTCCAGGGACAGCAAGGGAGAGCGCAGGGACTGGGGCAGAGCATGGGGCAGACCCAGCACAAGAACCAGAGTTCAGCACAAAGAGCTGTGGCCTGTGAGCCCAAACGTGGATCTGTGTGTCACAGAGCAAGGAGGGGACTTGGGGACACAAGAAAGGGACTCAGCTACACCCACAACCTCCTCCAGGTGTGGGTTTGGGCAGGGGAGGGGCAGCCACCAGGCTGGAAGGCTGAGGTGGTGATGCCACTGCTGAATTGCCACAGCAACTCCCCTGCAAAGGGCGAGTCCTTCAAACTATGGCCCAGTGAATGTGGCAGGGTGTGACAGAGTCATCACTGAAATCACAAAACCAAAGATGGCAAAGGGCTCAGTGAAGCACAGGGGAGGCTGATGCGCGGCAGAGAGAAGGGTAAGGAAGTCAAGCGGTCCCGCAGTCAGAGGCCAGCTGGAGGTGAGAGCTGGAGCTGCACAGAGAACACGTGGCCAAGAACAAAGTGCCAAAATACAGGAGCTGAAACAGAACCTTCCCCTCCCGTTGAGACAAAAGTGCTGGGAAAACAAGCAACATAAAAACYGCTTTTCCCTGAGGAGCTGAACCCTGTGTGTCACCAGGCTGGAGTCCCAGCTCTGCGCTTACCTGAGGTCCTCACCCCTCTGCTGCCAGGGACTTGGTGGCCTTGAAGCCCAGTGTGGAGCTGTTTCACTTGGCTAAGACTCACTGAAATCACCATCAAAGCCTCGGTGGGAACAGCTCAGCCCGAGTTCAGCGTTCCCCTGACCCGAGTGCTTTTTGTCTTTCCATTTAAATCTCCCAACACTCCCCTCCCTCCGCAGAGCCCTCGGTCAGCGAGCAGAAATCACCTTCTGAAGGTGCTGCAAAGTCACCTGCTYGAAATAAAGCTGAGCTTTAATGCTGCGCTTTCCCTGGGGCTCCAACAGCCCTGCAGCTCCCCAGCTGCCAGCTCGGTGTCCCAGCGGTGACACAGGGCACAGAGCATTTGCTGACGGTGACACTTCTTCACAGGGAGAGTTTGAGAAGCAAACACAAACTTCAGAGGCAGCAGAAAGAGCAGGAAACCACAGGAGAGGCTGTCACTGACACACTCGTTGRGGTGGCCACAGGACACACAGAGACATCCTGGCAGCCAGCAGTGTCACATCTGTGCTCAGCCAATGTCCCCAGGCCAGACCCCTGTCCCACTGCAGGACACACCTGTCCCCAGAGCCACTTTTTACCTTTTTATTGCCTCCTCCAGGGACGTGGCTGATGTTATCTAGGGACCCGATTTTCGACTGCACCTTATCTTTGAAGTCCAGTTTCTCAGATTTCACCTCCACCTGGCCACCACCTGGAAGAGAAGAGCGAGAGAGGCGGGTGAGGAGCCTGGAACAGCATCCAGCACTGCAGGGCTCACCAGGATCCCATCACCCCCTGCACTTTCCCAGCCCTGAACCCCAAAATGTACCTGGTTTGTGATGGATGTTGCCCAGGGAACCACATTTGGATGTCACGTGGCTCAGGTCGACTGGCTTGTACACAATTTGCACCTGTCCATGGGAGAGAGGRGAAAAGGATGAGCTGGAGGACAGCACAGAGAGCTGGGGAGGGGGAGCACAACACACAGCGGCACCTGAGCTGGATTGGAGGGAAAGGACAGCTCAAACCCCAGGAGGATTAATGCCACCAAAGAAACTGTCATCAGAAATGGGAGATCATTAATTCCCCTGTGCAGTAATGCCTCTTAACATGTCAGCATGCACGAGATCGCCTCTCCACAGAGGGGCGAGTAGAGGCAATTTTTTAAAGTGCTCAAGTGAGAGAGAAAGTGGAGTGGTGATTAATTTAAGATTTGCATACACATCATCCAAAAGGAGGAGATATACCAGAGAGAAAATGTAAAAAAAAAAAAATAAATACCTTTTCTGGTGTAAAACATAAAGCTTATGTCCACAAAAACTGAAAGAACAGAAATGATCAATGTGCACAGAACTTTTAAAAGAGTGACCAAAATATGCATTTCTGAAAAATGCTGTAACGGAAATAAGGGTTTAAAAAACAAAACAAACAAAAAAAAAAGGCAAAGCAAAGTCTAAATATCTGGAGTTCACATCATAGAAATTAAAATGGCAGTTATAAAATATCGAACCACAACAGCATTTTCATGACATTTAAGCTCTGTTTTTTTTAATGTGTTTTGCCAGTGACGTCTCCGAACGTCACAAATCTGCAGATCCCGCCCGTCCCCTGATGTGCACGGACACCGGGGACACCGGGGACACCAGGGACACGGGACACACACACAGGGCCCTGGCAGCACAGCACACACACAGCAGGAGCAGGAGACAAAGGGCAGAAAACATCCAAACATCCCCAGAACCCCACACGTGACCCTCGGTGGTATTTGGTTTGAAAGCTTCACAAAAAACAATTTGAGCCTCAATCAAATTACTCTATACCCTTAAAAAGTTTGGCAAAATTAAAATTAATGAAAATAGCAAAAACAGAAAAAAAAAAAGTAACTGCAACAAAAAAAATATTAACTGACTTTACTAAAACGTATGAACTATTATTATAAAAAATGATATAAACTATTATTATAAATCAAATATTATAACAAAAAATATTAATACTAACCCTAAATAATAATTAAAAAAACTTAATCAACTTAATCTAACTTTTACAAACATACTCTTGTGTCCATCTCAACTTTTTCCTACCTACTTCCACAGCCCTGGACCCTGGTTTGGGACTCACACCGGGGTGTGGGTCAGCTGCTGCTCGACTCAGCGGGGCTGTGCAGGAGGATTGGGATCCTCCACACCTCGAGGTTGGTTCCTGAACCCCGGGGAGTGCCTGGACCTGGATTTCCAGGGGTGCAGAGGATGCTCTCTGTGTTTCCCCCAAGAACCAGTGATCGGGAGGATGTGCAAAAGGATTTGTGCAGAGGAGCTGAGTCCTCCCTGCAGCCCCTGGAGCAGCACTGAGGATCCATCACAGCCCTTGGTCCTCATCCCAGCACTTGGGGCTGACCCCAAAGGATCCATCACAACCCCTGGTCCCTGTCCCAGCACTTGGGGCTGACCCAAAAGGACCCAGAACAGCCCTTGATCCCCATCCCAGCACCTGGAGCTGATCCCAAATGATCCATCGCAGCCCCTGCTCCCTGTCCCAGAGCCTGGGGCTGACCCCAAAGGATCCAGAACAGCCCCTGGTCCCTGTTCCAGAGCCTGGGGCTGACCCAAAAGAATCCAGCACAGCCCTTGATCCCCATCCCTGCACCTGGGCCTGACCCAAAAGGATCCATCACAACCCCTGCTCCCCATTCCAGCCCCTGGAGCTGACCCAAAAGGATCCATCACAACCCCTGGTCCGTGTTCCAGAATCTGGGACTGACCCCGAAGCCCAGGGGAAGGTGCACCTTCAACTCTCACATCACACTCAGTACCAGACTGATTGTCACTGTGATTGTCACCGTGATTGTCACTGTGATTGTCACTGTGACTGTCACTGTGATTGTCACCATGATTGTCACAGCCCTCACCCCAAATGGAGCCCAAAAGGAGGAGTGAGGCTCAGCCCCACAGAACAGAGCCCTGCTGCCCTGCCTTGTCTCCCGTGCTCACACAGACCAAAAGGCACATTTGACAGGAGACAGGGAGGGAGAAAAGGAGAAAAGCAGCCCCTCGGGGTCTGGGAGCACACCGTGGACACAGACGTGGAGACAGCGGTGGGGAAAGGTCACACRTTTAATGCACTGGGCAGGACAGGAGCCAGATTGGGTTGGAAAGCAGGAAACAGACCCAAAAAGGGCAGCTGGTGCCTTTCTAGTCCCAGCTGTGACCCTGAAGGGTCTGTGAGCAATTCAGGCACCACTGAGACCTGGGACTGAAAGTCCTCCCATTTCCAGAGCAAGCAATCAGCAATTGGAACTCTCTGCTCTCATTCCAGTCCTTTTTTTTTGACAGACAGGACTCCATCATCCCTTCCCATCCTGTTGGGGAGCAGAGAAGGATCCTCCACGTGTTTTAGCAAAAGAAGAACAGAGTTGTTTGCCTGGGAAACCAGTGCCAGAGACCTGGGGATCCCACCCCTCAGCATCAGCAGTGCTGAGGACAACTTTTGCCTAAGGCATCACCTGGTCAGAGCATCCACTGGCTTAAAAATGCAGGTACCAACCCCAGAGAGTGCCAGCTCCCTCTGGAAGCAGCGTTGGCCAGACAGGGGGTGGTGTGGGCAGTTAAGTCACAGTGGCCAYCAAAGCCCTGGGTCTCGTTGCCCCTCTCTCAAGGGAGCCCCAAGGCCCAGCTCAGCCCCTAAAACAGCCACACTGTCCCTGTCAGGCTTTGCTCTGAGCTCCCAGAGCTGCTGCAGCCAGGCAGAGCTCACAGGGGTTTCAGTTCTGGCAGGGATCACCATCCCCAGCACAAAACCCCAATAATTCTTCCCCCACTGCAGCTGCAAACACCCCCAGTGTGAGCTCTCTGTAGGGGAAGGGATGAGCTCATCACTGGTCACAGCTCAGAAGGTTTGTGACCAGCTCCATCTCCTGCTCCATCACACCCTGAGCAGCCCAGGCAGTGCAGGGCACTGGGGTGAGGAAGAGGAACAACCACAAAACGGCTTCACAGCGTCTGAGCTCTGCAGAGCAGCTCCCCTGGCTCGGGAAATCACTGCAAACTGACACCAGATTTAAGCCAGAGGCTGCAAACCCATCTGTGTCCCTGCCTGCGTGTGCCAAGCCTTCTGCAAGGCTCTGTTTCTCAGGGAGGGCATCCACAAAGATCAAAAAGGAAAATCCACGGGGAACATCTCAGACCAGGCCCCCACAGACCCCACTGACACCATTTGGGGTCTCAGGGATGCCCCTTCCTCTGTCCAGCATCTTTTCCTGGACCCAAACTATCTCCAGCTGTAAATCCACCAASCTCTGTGGAGTTTCTCCAGGTTTCTGGCACAGTAACTGAAAGCTGAGTCTTGTATTTATGAGGGAACAGCTGGAAATGCCAGCGTTCAAATCAATTAACTCAACAATAATTGAGGCTCAGCCTCCGTGGGCGCTGACATTGGTCAGCTCAATATTTGCAYGGACCATACTTGCCTGATGGGAATGGGCAGGAACCTGCACGTTGGGAGGATCATGTCCAATTTAGCAGCACATTTAGCAACGAGGAGTGGGTCTGCTCATAAATTTACCCATCTCCTACGTCACTGCGTGCCCGCAGACAAGGAGGCTTTCAGCYTTCCAGGCAGTGCAAAGCCCTGGAGTTACTGGGATGTTTTTTTGTTACAGACGTGGTTTGGACACGGGGCAGTTAGTTCTGTACATGTCAGGCATGTCCAGGACTCGTTAGGGTTCATCTTTTGGGTTAATGGGGTTAAATGACAGCACGTCCCCAATGGCTATGTGACAGCAGGGTTGGCTGCAGATAGCATTGGTGATTAGTGTTACAACATGCCACTAAAACCAGGATTATCACAGTGCATTCAAAGTGTGAAGGTACTCACACTGCCTCCGCCCGGGATGTGTTTGATATTATCCTTTGAGCCACACCTGGATTGAACGCTGCTAAAGTCCAGCTTCTTATTAATTATCTGCACCTTTGGTAGCCAGAAAAGAGTCATTGCACGTCACCAATAGCTATCTGATGGCAGGGTCGCTGCAGATAGCATTGGCAGTTTAGTGTACACAACATGCCACTTATCATAAGAACTATTATAGAGCATTGAAAGTGTGAAGGTACTCACACTGCCTCCGCCCGGGATGTGTTTGATATTATCCTTTGAGCCACACTTGGATTGAACGCTGCTAAAGTCCAGCTTCTTATTAATTATCTGCACCTTTAGTAGCCAGAAAAGAGCGTGAGAAACAACGTGACCATCTGCAGCTTGACCGTGTGTTGTTACATCCCTAAAATCAGGAACTTGATTCCAGAAAAATGCCTTCCAGTGCCAGGAGTGAAAAAAAAAAAGGGAGAATTTCTGGCTTGCTGCACAGATTGGGATGGAGGGTGAAGATGGGGGTGGGCWGGCTGGAGACTGGAAATGTCTGGGTGGTGATGCAGCCCCAGACCAAGGTCCCAGGYCACAAACACCAAAAAAAAAAAGCCAGCTCAGCACAGCTCCTCCCACGGAACAAAACGTGGAATCTGCTGGGGAGCAAACCCTCTGTGAGGCACTGCTCAGAGACCCTCCCAGTGCTTGGAGAGCCCCCAGTGCTCAGGGAACCCCCCAGTGCTCAGAGACACTCCCAGTGCTCGGAGATTCAGCTTCTGCAGAGCCAGCAGGAGGAGGAGGGATGGAGCTGAGAGGAAAAAGCCTGCCCAGCTCCAGCTCTCATGCCAGGCACCACAATCCCCTTCAGGGCCAGGCACACCTGGCCTTGGGCAAACGGGAGCCACTGGCCAGGGAGGGGAGCAGGAGCTGTGTGTGAGCACTGGGGGAAGGCACTGAGTTCTGCTCTGCACAGGGCTCACAATCCCTTCACAGCCACAAAGAGAAAGACAACGCTGCCAGGGATGCAGCCCCACCCCAGGGATGCAGCCCCATGTCCCCATCCCAGGGATGCAGCTCCATCCCAAGGGTGCAGCCACCCCAGGGATGCTGCCCCAGACCACCACCCAAGGGATGCTGCTCCACCCCAGGGATGTAGACCCATGCCCCCAATCCCAGAGATGCAGCCCCATTCCAAGGATGCTGCTCCACCCCAGGGTTGCTGCTCCAGGCCCCCATTCCAGGGATGCAGCCCCAGATCCCCACCCCAAGGATGCAGCCCCACCCCAGAAATGATGCTCCACCCCAAGGATGAGCCCCACCCCAACTCTGTGCCATATTCCCAAAGCCATCTCTGGTGGGATCACACTGGGAAGGGTCTGGTGCCACCTGGGAGCCACATGGGAACCACATGGGAGCCACATGGGAGCCACATGGGAGCCACGTGCCACCCTAACCACGCCCTCCAGCCCCAAAGCCTTCCCTCCTCACAGCATCTCTGTGCTGGTGAAGCTGATCCCACTCAGGGCTTGTTCTCCCATTTTTTTTTTTTTTGGCTGTGGTGAGAGCTGCGCTGGCGCGACCTCGGGCATCAGAGCAGCTCCTCCAGACACCCCAAGGGTGAGGCAAATCCCTGCTCCTTCCCCCCACAYACTCTGCAGTGGCTCTACAGCCTCCACAGGGGTTATCAACCCAAAGATCTGAGCCTCAGAGGGACCACGAGAGCCCCCAGCAGTGGCACAGACACTCCTGGATGGCACAAATCCAGAGCTGAATGAGCACCTCACCTCCATCCCAGCTCTCCAAGCCCAGCAGAGCTCCCTGCCATCCCCTGCCTCTCCAGCACCATGGCTGGCTCGTGCCTCCAGCAGGATTTTCCGAGTTCCCATTGACAAATCCCACAAATCAGGAGCCAGCTGTGCCAGGCCAGGCTGTGCCAGAGCAGCAAACAGTGACCCAGCGGCAGCACGAGTGCTCAGACCATGCAGAAATGCTGGTACAGACATGGTCTGGCTGGCTCCTGGTGTGTGCCCCCTGTTCCTTGGCTTCCCTGGGCTGGGGGGGTGTTGGAATCTGCATGCACAGAAGCTCCAAACCCTAAAATTCCGTGTGGGATCGGCCCTTTCTGCTYCAGCTGCAACCACGAGTCCTAAAAAAGCCCCAACAGAGCAGCCAGCCATTCTYCCCTGCAAAGAGCAAGGAATTGTCCCAAATTCAGCTGTTCTTACTCTTTCAGCAACGAGAACAAATGGAGAGGCAGACAGAAGAAAAAAMCCAACTTTGTAAAAGCTGGATTAAAAAACAAGCAATAATTTAACTGTTTTCTAGTAAACAAGGGTTGCTTCTAAAATCCCTGGAGAAYAGGGTTTGTGGGGGTGGCAAGAAAAACTGATGTCTTGTGCTAAAAGGACACTGACCAAGAGCCCTGCCCARGCTCCAGAGCCCCCCTGAATTGTGGCACAAAGCCAGTAAATYGCCAGCCATGGTGGAAAAAGCCTGGAAAGGCCGTGGAAAAGCGGGCTGCCATCTCAGAGGATGCAGAGGAGCCAGCTCAAAGCCTCCCCCCCATGCCAAAGGGGAACATTCAGAGGTACCTGCTCACACAAAATGCCATGCACAGCACCCAGGGAACGTTTGTTATGGATCTACGAGGTCTGGAGCCAGGCAGTGTCACCCCTAAAACAGGCAGTGTCACCCCTAGGCCAGCCAGTGTCACCCCAGGACAGGCAGTGTCACCCCCAGTACAGCCAGTGTCACCTTCAGGACAGGCAGTGTCACCCCCAGGACAGCCAGTGTCACCCCTAAAACAGGCAGTGTCACCCCTAGGACACCCTAGTGTCACTCCTAGGACACACCAGTGTCACCCCAGCACAGCCAGTGTCACCTTCAGGACAGGCAGTGTCACCCCCAGGACAGCCAGTGTCACCCCAGGACAGCCAGTGTCACCCCTAAAACAGGCAGTGTCACCCTCAGGACAAGCAGTGTCACCTCAGGACAGGCAGTGTCACCCCCAGTACAGCCAGTGTCACCTTCAGGACAGGCAGTGTCACCCCCAGGACAGGCAGTGTCACCCCTAAAACAGGCAGTGTCACCCCTAAAACAGGCAGTGTCACCCTCAGGACAAGCAGTGTCCCCTGCCAGGCTTGCATTCCCAAGCACTTGGAGCCCAGAGGTGACTTTTGCAGCTCGTGGAAGAATTTTCTGAGTGTACAAAGTGGTTGAAATGACAGAAGTGCACGTGCCACCCTCACCGTGCAGCCAGACAGCGGAACACGAGCCAAAACCTCGCCAACAGAGCTGGATCCAAAATCCCAAAGTTTGGGAAAAATGGGACCTGAGACCCTCAGAAGGAGGAGACAGACSAGCCTGTCCTCTCCTGCTCCAGATTCACCAACACAGCCCTGATCCTGCCATTCCTCAGGGAATGCCATTCCCCTGGCAGCCACTCAGTGAGACCCACAGCACCAGCTCTCTGAGGAATTCCAGGAATTCCAACCCAAACCCTTCCGAACCAACCAGAATCTGGCTGGAGCTGCTCCAGGGAGCTTCTCCCATTTGGGATGGAGCACCCAGCACCCGCAGAAAAACCCCTGGCGAGCAGAATTTGCRTTTACCTTGCCACCTCCGGGCTGGTGCTTCAGGTTGTCGGTGGAGCCGATTTTGGATTTGACGTTTTTCAGGTCGGGCATGGGCGCGGCCGAGGGCTGCACGCGGGTCTTGGCGGAGGCTGGGGATTTCGGTGGGGTACGAACCACTGCCACCTTCTTGGGCTCCCTGGCTGGTGGGGTGGGCAGAGAAGGGGTGCGGGAACGGCTGCCTGGAGTCCCGGGAGAGCCGGGACTGCTGTAACCGCTTCTGTCTCCGGACTTGGGCTGCTCACCTGGAGTTTGCAGACAGGACAGAGGAGGTCAGGATCCCTTTTCCCCTGCTCCCTGCTGCCCTTGGGGGCTGCTCTGCCTCGTCCCAGAGCCCACCCGCTAGTCCCAGTGCAGGGGCAGGGCGGTGGCTGCACTTTCTTCTACTCCATTTTGAAGGAAAAACTGCGATTTAAAGGCAATTTCCTAAATATGCCAGAAGGAAGATGGTGTCCATTGCCTGGATCGTCAGTAAAGACACCCCACCCGAGCGTGGCACGACGAATTACAGACAAAAGACACTCAGAACCACTTTTCTATCAGAAATTTGGAAGCATTTTCACAAAATCGTTTTCTGTTATTAACTAAGGCTGATCTCTGAGCAGCTTAGCACTGTCCCCAGTTTGAAAAGGAAAAAAAAAGAAAAGAAGACCCTTAAACATCACCTTTCTCAGTCTTTGCTGCTGCAGGAGGTGGTTTTTTCTGCTCCTTTCTGCCTGTTTAGTGAATGAGAAAGATGCTTAAACATAATAAAGCTGGAAAATTAATTGATTTAAGGCTTTATGCGGCTCTGGTTAAGTATGAAATATATGTATATATCCAGTGAAATGCGCCATTTTAATGGAAATTCACAACGCCTGATGATTTCTGGGGTTTTCTTCTCTGAGCATAATGGGCTAATCTCCAYTCCTGTAATCGAAGAATTGATCCTCTTGCCCCTGGTCTTTGTGAAATATCRTCACAGAGAAAACGAGTAGATGGATTAAAGAAAAACGGAGCTGCCTGAATMTTCCAAATTTGAGGAAATCCCTCGGGATAAAGCAGCTGCCCTCTCCTACACACCGGTGAGTGATGAGCAGAGGGGATTGAGCAGCACCTGGAAAGGCTCCATTCAGAGGGATCATCCCTGGCCCTGCAGCCCCAGCCCTGGGAGAGAGCTGGCTTTGGCCATGAACCCCCTGGAAGTGCCCAGCAGCACCACTCAGTCACCAGCACGTGGCTGCCACCGTCACCTACCGGAGCTGGGAGGGGTCTTGGGGGCCGTGGGGGTCTTGGCCGGGATGCGGGTGGCGTTGCTGGAGTTCCTCTGCGCCTGCCCCGCGCGCGCCGTGCCCGTCTTGGAGCCGCCCCTCGCCTCCGGGCCCTGGGGACACAGGGGGGTGTCAGGGAYGGGCTGGCACCCCTTGGGATCGGGGTGAGACCCTTCCACCTCCTCTCCTGGGATTCCCCAAACCTGGAACACCTCGTGTCCCATCTTCTTGGCTGCTGGGGCGGCTGTGACCTCGCCCAGGTGAGCCCTTGGCTTCAGCCACACCAYGCACTGCACACTCACACCCCGCTCAGAATGTTCAACTCCTCTTTCTCTAAATCTCATCACTTGGTTTCCCCTGTTCTGCTAAAATTTTGTACAGAGGATAAATTAATCCCAGCATCTGTGACTGGCACAGGATCACCCCTAGGACACCTGAATCCCTGGAAATGTCCAAGGCCARGCTGGACRGGGCTTGGAGCACCCTGGGATTGTGGAAAGGGGTAGAATGGGATGAGTTTTAAGTTTTTCCAACCCAAACCATTCCAGGATTTTCTGTTTCCAGGTCATCTGCACTTTCCCTCACTGTGGGTGTGTTTATGTCACTAAATGCCACGAACAGAACAAGCTCGAGGTTCTGTTCACCCTGCAGGATGTGTTTCATTCCCTGCTCTCTGTGCAGCACCTGCAGCTCTGGCACAGCTCAAACTCATCTGCTGCTGGCAGCCAGCGCTCTGTGAAACACAGACAGAGCTGCAAACCAAGGAAGGGCATGAARGGACCTGGAACTGCCTCGGGGAGAGCTGGGCAGTGTCAATTCTCACAGCGAGGTGCTGTTTGTGCTCTGGGTGCCAAAACCGGAGCCGAGCTCCAGGAAGGAGCAGGGGAAGCACATCCCACCCTCTCCACGGGGCACGGGAGGATTCAGCCAAGCAGCACCGGCCAGAAACACCTTCAGGCATCACCCTTGGTCTGTCTCTCATGCCAGTCTGGGGAGGCTCRGGATCAGCGGTGGAAAAGAAAGCTGCCTGCTGCCTGCTCTCTGGGACTGCTCCTTTTTTCTCCCTTTCTTTGGACTTGTTTTTCCTCGAATTTTTTTTCTTC